GGAAGGTTTAGGAGTGGCTCGACCGATATTTGAACCCCGGACCAAGTGAGTGGTTGGCGAGCGTTCTACCTCTGAACCACTGACATCAACTCGAACAAGAGGTTAAAATTAATATAACTGTTTGTCAGTCTAAAATATTTTGATTTATGAAAAAGAGAAGACATTCAGCGAAGAGACTCTTTTCGGCGAATTCATTCACATAGCTGTACAATCGCATTTATATATAAATATTTGTGTGTGTGTGTGTACATGAGGTTTGTCAAGTTTAGATAGTTGATTAGTTAATACAAGAATGACAAAGTTAATCAGACAGCAACTAAAGTAAGACTGAGTTAAAAAACTAGATGACGTAATATAATTGGCTAAAATGTTACAACTTAGGTCAGGATAGCAACAGAGGTAATTACAGGTAGAGACTAAGTAGAAGTGAAATTGAGTGAATAAGTTGGATGACGTAACATGAATGACTAGAAACTGAGCGTTGTTCAAGTCAGTAACAGTGGTAGTGGGGTGTAGAGATTGAATCGGGTGGGGGTAGAGAACAAGAAAGTTGAGAATGTAAAATGTTACAATTGAGAAGACAAAATAATACTAATGAAGAGACAGAAAAAAAAAAGATTAGGTAGAATTTACATGTCGGCTAATAAGATAGATTACGTCCATTGCAAGTGTAGCGATTGAACGAACTTCTTCTGTATGCAGAGTTCAGGACTTAGCAAGTGAATCGCCATTGCTTCTGCAGTTTGAAGAAGTCTGATTCGTACACCTTTAGGGAGACCACCTCTTACTCTGTAGACGACTTTGAAGTTTGTTTGCGGTGTAGCTTGGTGTCCGGATTCTATCAGATGTTCTAAGATGGAACTGCGGGGGCATCGATTTTCTCCTTTGTAAAACCATGCTGGTAAGCGCTCGGTGATACGTTTGGAAAGCGAGCTCTACCTGTAATTACCTCTGTTGCTATCCTGACCTAAGTTGTAACATTTTAGCCAATTATATTACGTCATCTAGTTTTTTAACTCAGTCTTACTTTAGTTGCTGTCTGATTAACTTTGTCATTCTTGTATTAACTAATCAACTATCTAAACTTGACAAACCTCATGTACACACACACACACACAAATATTTATATATAAATGCGATTGTACAGCTATGTGAATGAATTCGCCGAAAAGAGTCTCTTCGCTGAATGTCTTCTCTTTTTCATATGACTCAATATTTTGATTTCACAATTTAGCAAACAAAGAATTGAATTGGCAGAAGTTAGAAGTTATGGGCCATTGGATCGGGTCCGAGTGGCTTAATAGTCTACCAGCTCGCCTTGTAACCAGAAATTCCTCAGTCCGAACCCCAGTGCGTGCGTACTGATGAAGAGTCCAAAACTAGGACGAAACAGCTGCCCAGTACTCCGAGGTTTTCCAGTGATTCTCTAAATGATGTCAGCTCATGCTGAAACCCTCCAACTAATCAAACATAATCCCTACAAAGCCAATACTTGAAAACATTTTTTTATCAATTTATTTGGTTCTATCCTACATAAAGTAACGGAATCCAACTTTATATTTGTGGAAATATTTGAAATCTTTGCATTGAATGTAATTCTGACTGTTATTATTGTTACTCTTTCTTTGAACTCCATGTGGAACATAGAACTTCAGTGGCATATCTTCATTTCACTCGGTTCTCTGCCATCACTTTTAGCTGGCCCGGAGAATGACCAGAAGATCGCACTTCCTTCTCATATGATCTCCAAGTCATCTTCAGACGCCTAAATCGTAGGTTTTACCCCAACCCACACATGTGACGACTGAATTTTTAAAGCGCAAAAGAAACAAACTTATCCTCCAGCGGTAGTTAGGAAGACTCCTCTATCTGTGGATGGATGATGCTGACAGGTGAAAGACTTCGGGAATCCAGTCGGCCTATCTGTCTTCTTTCAATGAATGAAAGTGTAAGCACGGGGATATGACATATCTGCACGATGCTTGAGGCTGATATATCATTCTGGCAGCGAATTCAAATATAATGTGACTGAAAAAACTACGATAATTTATGATCATTTGTTTTTCACCTAGTTATTTCACATTAATAAAATTTTACATTCATTTATCCACAAATATTGCTTTATAACAGTCAGTAAATGCCACAATAATTCTATGATGGAATCTACATTTAAATAAAGTAACTGACAACAGTTGTTTGTTGAGATATTTCTTGTTCTGAATATTGGATAAGATATTTCAAATCCACAAAATTCATAAGAATTCAAACACTTTAGTGTAGCTCTACTTTTAAGTTTAACTGTCATATAAGATAAATTAGTTAATTGTTGATGTGTTAGTTTTTCTTGACAAAATTGAATGATGCTATATCCTTTTTGTTTAGAGAATAGTTCATTGAAAATAGTTTATCTTCATTTGGTTTATTAATATGTGAAAAAGGAGGTAATTCGAACATGTTTTAAAGCATTTTAAGCGTAAAGCTTGAATGACAACAGTCACACATTATCCAGAAATTTTAGAACATAACTGGTACAGAGATGTTTATATTTTTAATGACCAAATTAGGAAGAAAATGATGTCCAGTGCCCCCTAGTTTTTGATGATTATTTAAGCAATTTTAGTTCGTCCAAAAATCTTTGCTAAAATTAGTCAAAATCCCTAGAAACTCAAATTCTAAATGTCTGTCTTCAACTTTTTGATGGCTACTGGGCAGTTATCCTAAAGTTCTAATGTGAAGTCATGACAAGTGGAGTTCGCCATATCAGTGAAGAGCGAGTGCATTGGTTTGAGGTAGCGAATAGATAGAAGTTAGGACACATGAATCACTGAATTCTACCCCAGTGGCTGGATTGTGAATGGCCTCACTTCATTATCTGAAAGTTCGCGTACTCAATCCCCCATGAGACTATGAGTGTCCACTACTGAAATTTTAAAAACCAGGAAATTCAGTAACAGTCTAAAACTTTTTTCTGTCTGATGTAGAACACCGACATGTTCGCGCACTACACGAGTCTCAGTATTTGACAGTCGAAGTAGGTCGGCGCTTTCTATAATTTATGCCAAATGCAAAAATTTAATATGTATTTTTTTTATGAACATGTTAACTGCAACACATATGTAGAAGCGAAACATAAGGGTCTACTGATGGCCGATTGAAACACTAAGCGTTGTAGTGTTCAAAACGGAAGAAAATAAAATGCACTGGTGCAGTTCGGTAAATAGTCTCCTATAGGCGAATTCATTCACTTAGTTGTACAATCGCATTTATATATAATTATTTTGTGTGTGTGTACATTAGGACTGTCAAACGAAGATAAAATAAAAATAAGTTAGGGTTACTGTTTACGTTATCAAAATGTTTCAAAAATGTGAAGAATAATCAAAATTGTAACTATAGGGGGGGGGGGGTGAAGATTGGTAAGTATTGATAAGAGTTGAGTAATATGAAATAGGATGTAAGTGGAGACACGTGTCCAAAATAAATTATGTAATATAAAGAGTAAATAAAGGGTTGGTTAAGAAAAATATGTTACTAAGAAGTCATACGAAAATCCAAAAGAAATTATTAACAAATTAGTAGAACCTGGAATTATAACCAAGGTAAAAGGAGGGGGTGGAGAAGTTTCTTCTGTGTACATAAATCAGGGTTTTCTATCCGAATCGCTAAGGCCTCGGCAATGCAAAGTATACGGAAGCTAACAGTTTTCGAGAGGCTTCTTTAGACTCTGTAGCTGATTTTGAATGAATTCTCCGTACACACTGAGTGACCAATTCTGAATATATTTTTAATCATAGCATTCTTTATTGATCCACTGTTACCTTTTCTTAGCCAAGCGGGATAATATTCTTTGACTGTTTTAGATAAAACGCGCATCGAATAACCTATATAGCTTGCTCCACATGACCAAGTAAATTGGTAGATACACATAGACGTGGTCAAATGCAATAAATTATCTTTGAAGTTGTTGAAGAACAATGGGCATCTTGAGAATATCAATCGTAGTGTAGGAGAACAGAATGTTCTTTCCAGGGCGTTAGATATTCGGCCAGAAGGTCGCCTATGAACGCCACATTCAAGTATAGAATCTTCTTCGGCACATAGATGAGTTGTTGTTCATTGATTTTCGGCTTTATGCGTTTATCTATAAAGCGTGATGGATAGCTATTCTCAAGTAGTGTCTTCCTAAAAAGAGTGATCTCTTCTTCTACTGATTCTGGGCTGCAGATTTTAGGAATACTAAACATATCTACTACATAGTCTTTTGTTATTGGCAGCAATAGAGAGAAATATACTGATAATCATAAAATTAGGTAGTATGAAATCAAATGTTTGTTTTGTAAATTAACTAGTAATAAAATAAGTAGTCAGTGATATCAGTGTTTTCTACAAGATATTAAGTCACACAGAGAAACAAGATTCGTGAACAAACTACAAAACGTATACATCTTCATTGGGATCAATGAATGCCATAACGCCAACGAAGGAATTTGTGTATCATGTTAATTTTATCTTACTCCTTTGATTTCCGAGCGGAAAATAAGGCGTCAAGCCTTAAACTTCGAAGTTTCAGTAGCAGTGGAGTCATATTTACACAGTGGGTTGCCAGACTCATGCCAAACTTTCAGTCTCTACAGAGCTTACTGTCGGCTAAGCGAGGTTTAAGAGAGCGTTAGCCGGGAGTCGAATCCAAGACCACATTCGTCTTTGCCTGGTATTCTTCCACTGAACTGCTCACGCAATGTGGTTAGGGAATTGCGTTGTGTATCATGGTAGACGCATTACATTTTAGATTGATTAAATACAGAAGAATTGTTGTCTCTTAGTTTTAACCCTAAAAGCGGAATATCGGTATGTCATATACGATTGAAAATAGAATTAATGTAGATGATAATCACAGTTTTCTTAGTTATTGTATGTTTAAGGTCATAGTTATCTTTGAAATATTTATGTAAATATAATATATATATATATGCATACATATTCATGAAATTTTGTTTTACCTTCGAAGCATTCACATTGCCAGAAGACTCGCCTACACCCAACATTTTTCTTGTTTTATATCTGCTGAGCAAATCAGATGAACTTTCTTTCCTGAAAACACATGAAAAATGGATGAACACATTCAAAAGTGCAAAATACCTAAGTCACATGTTAATTAAAATGGAATAATTAAGAAATACAATAAAATATCAACCAGTGGTGGGCTACATAGTGTGCAGGTCATTGAATTCCGGACCAAATGGCTTAGGGGTCTATGAGCTTGACATCGTGATCTACAAGTCGCGACTGCAATCTTTGATTTCATGGATATGCACTGATGAAGAGTACCCAACTAGGACGAAACGAATACCCAGCGTTCCCTGGTTTTTATTGATCTCTAAATAATATTGATGAGTGACGAAATCTGCAGTGAAATACACAGTATGCGTCAGAAGATGTTGAGAACGCATTATGTGACAGTCAGTGCTATTAATTAGGTGCTCAAGCTTGAAAAGATTCAAAGAATTAACGTCCATCGGTTGAAAGAAATATCTTTGAGTGAAGGAAATACAAGTGTGCATTTTTGTAATCATCTAGATACATTTTATGATTATCTTTTATCTGAGTAGCAGTTATTTTGACCAGTATTCTAATTGTAATGCGTAATTCATGGTTATTTCAGCACAAGTCAACGAGCTATATGATGCATTGTCTATCGAAATGAATTATTCATCTATTAATCTCATTTGCATACTTAGTGATAATAAATAATAATAATTGTCAGTATTTCCCAAATGTATACAAAGAGGTTTTAAATTTCCTGCCACACTGACATCAAAATGAAACTCATAAATTACGTTTATACATATATACATATAACGCAAGCAATATATGTCCCATTTTTCTCATTCCAGACATAGCGATTTACAGCTTTTTAGCATGTTTTACCAGTATGTCTTCTTATAGGAAGTATAACGCAATCATACAACAAATATCTGGCCGAAATAAAAAGCTAAGTACAGAATGACTGATTACGATATTAAATTTATGAGCAGAAAGTGATTAATACGCTTAGTGAGTTTATTCTGCAAGGGTGATGCAGCTTCCACTTCTGCTGAGCTTCTCAAACAACTCAAATACTTTCCTGTTGAATAAATTTCTCCTAAAATCTGTTAAATGATAATGACAAATAGATATGATTAGGTTTTTAATGAGTTACAGGTTTCTTAGTGTTTATACATAGATTTATGTGAAAAGAGAGGTTACAAGTAGATAATAAATACTCTGGTGTTGAAGAGAATGGAGAAAAAAATACCTACTAACCGTCTTCAAAAAGAATGGACATCCTCATAATTTCATCACAAATTGTATAAACTCGAGTCACAACACCAAGTCAACATCAAAGACCACAAAAACATTCACCCTACGATGCATAAAAGGTATCTCCGAAATAACAGCTAGAAAATTCAGACAATTTGAAATAGATATAGCACACAAGCCAGCCAGCACAATCACTTCATTCGATATTATGCAAACCAAAACATCCAACAGAAAAAGAAGATAAAGTTAATACCATTTACAAAATACATTGTATGAACTGCAATAAATATTACATCAGTCAAAGTGGGTGTCCTCTTCGAATCAGAATCCAGGAACACAAATTAACCGTGAAAAGACATGATATATATTCTTTCATATCAATGCATGTGGATAATTATGGACGCCAATTTGATTGGGATAATGCAGAAATTTTAAATAGAGGGACACCGTAAGAGGCCGGAGAATTTCTAGAAGCCTGGTACTCAAGTGAATCAGCGATTAAGAAACATATCAATATAGACGAAATTTACCAACTAATAAAAAGTAAATCATGTGACAAGAATGTTCAAATTCTAAGTGAATGAAAATGATCAATAGGGATGAAAATCAACTACCAGTCACAAAGATGGTTGCCAGGAGACACAATTATATCATTCATGGAGAATTCAAATGAGTCCATTTTATGCGAAAACTTGCGCTGAAGATGTTGTCTAGAAAGGGGGACGACGAAAGCTTCGCAATTAAACCAAACAGATCAGAGAAAAAAATTAGTTCCAAATTATTCACCTGAGCCACAAATCTCTATTATTACTCAATGTTCATATCAGAATTCAAATGAACTGTCGTCAAGATTTGACAGAATAGTTCTAAAATATTTGGGCGCCGAGTGAGAAGTAGACATTTGTAAAAAAAATTATATTTGTAAAATCTCAGCGAGATTGAAATGAGTAATTCCAACGTTTCGTTCGGCAATCTGGTCCGAACTTCTTCAGGGAAATTAATCGAAATTAACATAACAGAGGTTTATATATAAAAGGAAAATCACTTGTTTTTAAAAACTTTGTCCAATCATGAGTCATTCAACAAGTATCAACAAGTATAATAAACAAAATTTTTTCATGAGCTGTGATCAAAATTTGACCTCGGACTTACAAATATTGGTCTACCTTTGTTGGAATTACTCATTTCAGTCTCGCTGAGATTTTACAAATATAATTTTTTACAAATGTTTATATCAGAAGTTTACTAGAAGTCAACCTTTACTCATCAACTGAAGTAGTAGTTTAACACGGAATGTACACGATTAACGATATATCAATCAGAGTCTGCTTAGTGCATATCACTCTCTCTCTCCTCTATTTATCCTATTAGCTACTTAGCACTTAGCGAAAAAGGTGAGACGACGTTTACTTAGGGATTTTACCCTCCTAAAGTATGTATCATAACAAGATTTACGATATTCTTTGAAAAAAACTCAGTTCTAAAAAACATCTCTTAAATCTCATTATGTGAATACTTCAAATTCCTTGAAGTTCCTGCAGTATTTTAATGAACACGACAGAAGTCGACATTTAAAGCTCATATTCTGTCATCACAGCAGATAACAGAGTACTCTCAAATATATATCGAAATAAAATTCCAGTTTCAAAATAATCTTTCAAATATAACTAAAATCTAATTGGATAAAATAAAAGTGGGAATAAGAATAGTCTGGATTGAGAAATTCATTTCAAGCATAAAAATGACTGCAAATCTTAAGGATTTTAGCATGAATTAAACGGAAGAAAGTGTTTTTTTGTTTTACTTGCTGTCTGATAACTGTAGATAAAAGATTTTTTACTGTCATTTGAAATATGCAAAAAAGTGCTGCAGAAATTACATTACTTGACGAGTGGTTAAAGCTTTTTGTATGCTCATGAATATCGCGCATATAGCTTGCTTAAAATATATGCAAAAAAACACTGTGTTAAAGAAAGTAATCATTTATCTTTGGAAAGTGTTCAACTTGTAACCATTTATTTATTTTCTCATTATGTTCCAGACTTAGCAAATTTACATTATTTTTTGTTTTGTACTTAGAATATACTGAGAATGTACCAGAGACTTATTTTATTTGGTTACAGGATTTCATCGTGAGCTGACATTGGTTAGAGAACCATTGAAAACTAGGTGGTACTGGATAGTTGTTTCATCTTAGTTTGGGAATCATCTACAGTACGCATTCAGTGCCACGGTTTGAATCCAGGACCTTCCGGCTACAAGGTAAGCCACAACTGCGACCCGATTCAATGGCCACCACATGAATTCTAACTTCTACCAATTCGTGATTTAGCGCGACCACCAAACAATTTCATCGGTGGGATATCCATCCTCACACTTGACTGAATGGACCTCACTGGTCACGACTTCTCACTAGAACTCCAGGAAACTTCGTCCTGTAGCAAGTCACTAGCGAGCATTAAGTTTATTTTCAAGAGTTGGTTTGTAAGGTCCTGGGTTCGAACCCCTGTAGTGGGTGCGTACTGCCGATGATTCCCAAACTAGGATGAAACAGCTGTCCACTACTCCCAGCTGGTTTTAATTGGTTCTCTAACTCATATCAGTGCGTGATCAACTTGTAAAAAACAAAACCAACTTATTTTATTCATTTTCGAGGCAAATTAATTATTGAAATTCTTAACGACTGATCTGATCCTTGTTGAACAATGCTGGGATTGTGAGAACTGTATATCAAACGACTTTATGACGTTACAGTTATTACAAATAGGTGTTTAAATATTTGAGTGAATATGACATAAATTTGCCATAATGTATTAGCCGAAATCGGTACACTCTTGACAAGTTCTCACCTACTTGTCAGTAGAAACATTTTATGAGGTTTATAAACTAAGTAAGCTTAAGAAATTTAACCCACGAATTAGGCTGCATAAAAACAAGTGGAGCAGGACTACGTTAAGCTGAAATTTCGTAATCATGTAATCCCAAATGGTAGAAATTAATTTTGGAGCTTCAATCAACAGCGGGCAATGAGGAAACAGGCATAAAATGGACTCACACAAAGAACTTGGGGGATCTGGACTTCGCCGATGATATATGTCTGATTTCCCACAAACTGGAAGATATGCAAGTGAAAAGTAACAAGTTGGCAGAAGAAGCATCAAAGATAGGACTCCAGGTGAACATAGAGAAAACGGAGGTGATGAAGATTCCTGGACAACACCAACAACAGCAACAACAACAACTGACAACAATCAGCATAAATGGAAGGAACCTGAAAGAAACTACCTCCTTTACCTACTTGGGAAGCATTGTTTCAACTACAGGCGGAACTGACGAGGATATGAAAGCAAGGATCGGGAAAGCAAGGCAAGCTTTCATTACTCTCAAGTCTGTGTGGAGGTCAACAACATCCAGCGTCAAAAATAACATCCGGATTTTCAATTCCAATGTGAAGTCAGTACTACTATACGGATCAGAGACTTGGCGTGTCACAAAGAGCACCTCAAACAAGCTACAGACATTCATTAACAGATGTCTTCGCTCAATACTCAAGATCAGATGGCCGGAAAGGATCAGCAACAAAGATCTCTGGGAGCGAACCAACCAGGAACCGCTTGTGAAACAAATAGGCAGGAAGAAATGGAGATGGATTGGCCACACTCTGAGGAAACCATAAAGTGACATCACTAGACAAGCCATCGCTCGAGTGGAACCCGAAAGGGAAGCGACGAGTTGGTCGTCCAAGGGTGACCTGGAGGAGATCATGTGAAGAAGAATTGAAAGCGTATGGG